ACATAATTAACAACATTCAATAAAATTATTTCTAAAATATGATGATCTTTATATATTCAACTATGCCATATTTAAATACTGGTTTTTTTTATAAAATATTGAGCGATGTTGTTTTTACATAGCATGGCATAGCTAATTAATTATTTGTCGGTATAAATTAACAGTCGTTCAGGTTTTATTAAAAAACGAATAATACACAATATTATTTACAAATATCTTCAGATTTTAAGTAATTTAATGGCATTAATATTGGTAATCGATATGTTCAAATGCGTAATTTTGGCTACGGTTGGTTTACCAACATGAGTGTGTAAAAATATACAACGGAAAATAGTATGTAATTAAATTATAAATTTTGAACACTCTAGAATTTCTAGATTCGCGTAGGCGCTCAACTAATTGTAAGCCAATGAGCCTACCTTCTGGTACAACGCCCATAATAATTATTTATTATTAGCAAACGATTAGTATTGATATTTTCTTACTGTGCCACATGTAACTGTACCATAGCCTGTGAAACTACTAAAAACCCCTGAGGACATTTTCAAATGCCTGAAACCAAATCTCACATACATACTACGAAGTCGAAATGCTACTTCCGTATTCAGGTCTCACAATTACGTCTATTCGATGTGGTCGTGTGTGCGCATTCCGATGCATTCGAAAACTGCATCGATGTTTTTCTAAAATCTTTCAGAAATGCTTTGGTTTGTTTTGCTAAAGTCGCTTGAATATTTCAACGTTTCAAACGAGGATTTGTGTGATTCCAGAATGCATTGACCGAGTCGAGTACGATTTTTTTGAGGAATGATTTGTATGAATAATAGCTTCAACTTTTTTAAGTATTCATTTTTCTAAAACACCTTCAGATTTAATTTCTGTTGTCTAAGACAGCATATTCAAATAAGCTGTCAAATTCACATGTCTCTGAATTTTTGAATCTAGAATATGTGTCTATCTAAAGCAAATTTAGATTCTACAATAAACAAGAAGTGAAATAGATATACGTAATTGCAAAAAGTATCCTGTTGCTCTCTTCAACGCTAAGTAATCAATTTTGCTAAATTATTAGTTTCTTCTCATTTCACATTTACACTTCTTAGGAAAATTATCTACAAAATATTGTTTCACTGTCAATGACCTAAAAACAACTCTATTGAAAATACATAATACACATGATAAATGTCGACAGATTTTTAAGTTTAGAATTAAAAAAAATCTAAAATTTTGTTAAGGATTTTTAAAACATTGTTTTATCATAATTCTGTTACAACCAACATACTTGTAATAAGTTTATATGTTGCATAGATTAATTTATACATAAATGGCAACAAAAATTAAATAGTACTAAGAGAAAGAAATAAGATACATAGAATAGATATCATAAATGATAAAATTGATAGATAAATAGAAACCAAAATTATTCAATGATTTTTTTTATTAAATTCAAATTATGCGTATAGATCTACAGAAAGTTTCTTCTGCTTCAGTTTGTTCCAAATATCAACGACCAACAAACGTACTTGAAATAAATCTATAAGTTGTTTTTATAAATTTGAACATAAATCATAATAAAAATAAAAAAGTACTAAAAGAAAAAGAAGAGTAGATATCATTATTATTTCAATGATCCATTTTTCATTAAATTTATTTTACACGTATAGATCTAAAATGGTCTTTAGTTCACTCAAAATTCAGAATATCCACAAAATAAATATTGATCAATTTACAATTGAGTATAAATATTGATCAATTTATACATAAATAAAAATAAAAAGAGCTTAAAGAAGAAAATAAAAAAATAATATAGAAAATATTCATATGAAAGGTAAAGAGAAAAAAACAGGTTTTTTATCTTCAATTTGCTTCTAATTCAAGACATCTATGATCAATGTAGTTGAAATTTTATCACAGTTCAGTTTTCACATAAATGACAACAAAAACAAAACAAAGTACTACATTACTAAAAAATATTTTTTTAATAAACTTATTTTACACACAGACCTAAAAACATTTTTTTTCTTCTCAAATTTTCTCTTGCAAGTTACTGTTTGGATGGCAATCAATTTTTACATAGGTTAGAAAAACTTTTTTTATTATTGGCTTTCGATTTTACATCATTTGGCTATTTATTCTATGGAGAAATTTTTTTTGCCATTCTGAATATCAGCAAATTTTGTGGTCGCACCTAAAAATAAATGTCGAGTTTGAAAGCCAATCCACCCGGATTGAAATAGAGAAACTTAAATAAAATTTAGTTTCTTTTTATTCTTTCTCTGATATATTCTATTTTTTTTCTAACTACGAAGTTTTTAAATAAATTTAATATCACTTCCGTTCAAATATTATTTTAATCAAATTTAATATCAAACGTGTCTTTGACATGGATCAAAGAATTAATCCATTACCTAAATGTTACATTATATTTTCTATATTTTTATATTCTCTGCTCTAAAAATAGATAATGAATCTAATGCGTCACAGTTGACAATGAACAGGATTTTGATTCCAATATTAATACCATATGATTGAGATTTGTAGACACACGCAGACTGTTTGGCATTACCCTCGGAGCAATGTACTCATTTAGAGACGAGCTGGCTTAAATATAATCGCTACGCGTACCTAAGCGTCATATGACGATATGTATATTCTATCGTATGCGGCCAAGGACTGAAATTAATAAACTGTCGACAAATGTTACGTATTAAGGGATTATAAAATTTCAGTCTACTGTGTATAAGTTCATGCGTTTTATTTATGTGTATAATTGCTCCTATCGTATACATAAAACGAAATTTAGTAGTAGGTACTAGTGTAGTATAGTACCAGGTACTAGTTCCTACTATTAGTATGAAATAAAAAAGTTGACCAAATTACAATGCAAATGCTTTGCTATCTAGTCTTATAATTACTTTTATCTTATATTCAAAGAGTAAAGTTATTTGTTTCCTCACTCATTGATCTCTGCTTTATTTTTTTAACAAAATTTACAACAAAACGTAACAAAAGTTCTAGTTAATGTTGCAACGAACACACAACGAAAGTAATTTATTCATTTTTTGCCAATAGCACTGTTTGTTTTCGTCAAAAAATCCAATTCGGTAATCATATGTTTTATTGATAATATTAGTAAAATTAGAAAAATGAATAGGTGCATGTTAATATGTATACATGTAAACGCAAATATTATCTTTAATCGACGTTGATCGGCGAATCATTGTTATTATTTTAGGTTCATTTTTACAAAATTATTTTAGTTTAATTATGATGCGTTATACGTTAGTCATCTAACAGTGATTTAAGTAAATCTTACACAGTTTGATTTTTTTCTCCTCGTGTGCATCTGATGCCTAGTAAAGTCAAAAATGTTTTTTAAATACAGTTATAAAATTTCGTATTTACAACTTTCGAAAAGGGAAAAAACTGTTTGCGACTCCTCAGCTTTATTGCCGTCTATTGAACAAAGAGCTTTATTACCCGCTCATACCTATATCTCTTGTCAAATAAGTGAAAATTTGCACGAGCTGTTGTAAAAAATATTACTTAAGAAAAAGGGTAGAGTGAAAGTTTGCGAATATTGTTTTTTATTACGAAAAGGATTTTTTACACAAAAGATCGCATGCAATATAATTTTAGAAAGTTAACCTTTTCGGAAATCAACTGATGTAAAGGATTTTTACGTACTTTTTAAACACAACTCTCTAAAATTTCGTTTTTATTGCGTCTAGGTTTACACAACCGTTGTAAAAGAAGATTGTGGTTAATTGTTGTTCTGTAGTCGATTTTTTTGAAACATGTTTTGAAGATTTGTCAGGGTTATTAGGTAATAATAAGGATTTTTTAGAAGTTTTTATTTTCTTGTTTGTGCAGAGTTATTAAAAAGATTATAAACGGCATAGAAATATTTAGCATTTTATTAAGGACAGTTTTACAAAAACTCAATCGAAAATAAGTATATGCTAAAAATTCAAGTGAAATAAATTGCATTCAATGATATAATATCGTAATCATTCATAATGCGGTGTTGATATAGTCATAAACTAATATAAATATGTACTTATGCATTCAATGTCCATTACATATTTTTAAAATAATCTTTATCACTCGTTATAATCAATGATGTTCAATATAACTATTTGTGTAATTAATTCCCGATAGCGCATTACATCTCTTTAATTGAATGGATTCTCCATTAGATTTCAGCATATGATGCCTGTGAGTTCTTAGAAAAAAAGCTGTTATGGTTGCACAGTTGATTAAAATTCCACACTCAGAATTCAGAGTTCGTATCACAGCACAACATCTAAATCCTGAAAACTTGTATCAATTTTCGACTTGGTTTTCGGATGAATATTTGATGACATGATGTAATGGATGGTTTTCAGATATAAAGAGATTTCTTTCATTCGGGGATAGGTCATAAGGTCGTTCTTTATTTCTTGCGGAAATTTTACAATTCTCAAGAAAAATATATGATTTAGTTAAAATTTGTATTCATTATTAAAATCTCTAAAACAGCTGATGATTTAATGAGCCTCAATGTCGAATGTTTTTGAATCATTGAAATAGGGCTTTACTCTCGAAATCGTCGACGAAAAATTGTATCCGCACACACGCACACATACATACATTTATCTTTTCTAAGGTATACTAAGATGTTTTGAATTACTTGAAACGTAATGATATCTAAAAAATTTCATATTCGATTTTTTTGCGATAACTATAACTTGCCCAATATTCCGATATGTTTACAATTTTGCACATTTCAATTCAAGAAGATTTTTGTTGTTAAAATATCCGTTTGTAAGAGCATTGCTATATGGGACAGCTTGAGCACTTTTAATTAACTTTGGATTGAATTGAACTTTTTGGAAAAATTGTAGTAATTTGTACAAAAAGTAGTTGAATGTAGTACTATGAAATTTTATTAGGCGTACTATTTTATTATATGTAGTTTTATTAGTGTTAGTTGTAAGTTATAAATATCATTTATCCAGAATCATCTAACCGCGTGTTCTTTCCAATTTCTCTTTCCAGGACCCAACGGTTGTCCGAGGCGTCGTGGCCGCCAGACGTATACGCGCTTCCAGACGCTGGAACTGGAGAAGGAGTTCCATTTCAATCATTACCTGACGCGGCGACGGCGCATCGAGATCGCACACGCGCTGTGTCTGACCGAGCGCCAGATCAAGATCTGGTTCCAGAACCGCAGGATGAAGCTGAAGAAAGAGCTACGTGCGGTCAAGGAGATCAACGAGCAGGCGCGGCGCGAACGCGAGGAACAAGATCGCATGAAGCAGCAACAGCAGCAGCAGCAGCAGGACGGCAAATCAAACAAAATGGACCATCATGCGCCGCTCCATCACCACCACGACTCGCTCAAACTGTCGTCGGGCACAACGGGTCTCGGTCTGGCCGTCGATAAATCTCAAGCGGATCTATTGAAGGCGGTCTCCAAAGTCCCGACATAAGCAATACAGGCAGCCGGAGTCGAGCAGCCAGCCACCGTCGTCGTAATTTGAATGTTGCGCGCAATATTCGCAATGATTCGAAAACAGAACAACACAAAACACGATGTCGTCTCAAATACGTACTAGATAATAAGTATATAATGATTTTAGATGTATGTGTAGGATATAATATATTATATATAAATATATAAAAAATAATTCGCGTGTAAATCGAAACGTTTGTAAGAGGATCGCGCGCATTCGACGCCTAGTGACAGTGTGTTTTCGGTAGTGGACGATTTCGCTGTTGTGAAAAGAGCGTTGTATTATGGATATGCCAGTGATAGAGGATACAGAGAAAAAAAACGAATCCGTGGACTATGCACCTTCGATTTGCCTTCATCGTTCTCATCTACGGCTTGAAATGACTCGATGTCGTATTTCTCTCAATTAACTTTATTGTGCCCACGTTATTATTAAGTTTGTATGGTTATGATGTTTGTGTCGCTGTTGATTTTGTAAACAACAAGAAGCGATCGCATTATGTTGTCGAAATTATTTTATTTGATTATTATTATTATTATATTTTCGTTGTATATATTTCATTTATTTTAATCGTTGCGTTCGATTTAAGATATTTTATAACTGTCTCATAATGCTGGGACAGATGTTGCGCTATTTTCTTTATCAGTGTATGTGTTACGATATTGTACTTTTAATTGTTAACATTCTTGTGATGCTTAAATTTGTTTTATTTTAATATTATGATGGACGGTAATTTATAGGTATGAAAGTTTCGTGTAAGAAACTAAAATTGTGCCAAGAATAGAAACCGCATTATGTGGTATCGCACCATAACGCCTGCTATGTGTGAAGCAGTGTCAAAAATAATAAAAGTATTTTTTCCACGTACGAGCCAGCCGGAAAGTGCCCGGCCGCTCCGCGCGGATTCGAGTTTTGTAGTTCTTGGATGGTTGTCGTTCGTATGAGATCACAGTACTGAAATGCAGGGGAAGTGTCTTGCGACGTTTTTAACCGAATGCACCGAAACAAAATCAACTTATACAAATACACATTTACCTTCAACAGGCGAGTTTTAAAACTCCTTCGTACATATACGTAATTTGGTGTCAGGGTAGCCAAAATCCTTAAAACAACTAATGTTTTTATTAATCTATATAAGAGTTATATCTAACAAATTATTACATTTTCTGTAACTCAACAAAACTATAAAAAATATATATTATACATCTCTGTATTACACTAGATTTACATAAATACATATATTTATAACATTATAATGCATGACGCTATGTAATCGAAAGTGAGTTCACATTATCTCATTATGTGTGCGCGTATTCACTTCGTCCAGCCGTTTGCGATTTTTTAAATCTTTTTTCAAACATTGCATTTTTGTTTCGTGAAGCCTTCGCAGTTCGTCGGTGAAAATATATCAAGCGTGATTGCATTTTTATATTTGGGACTTTTACCAGTTCGGCTCATTATATAGTAGTATGTAAACACTGTAAAAATAGTAAGTTGAATGTATGCAATTGGTATATGAATACTTTTTAGCTTTATTAGCACTTGTGTACTTAATGTAACAGAAGCTCGAGGATGAAGCGAAGTGTCGATTTAGGTTTTTTCAAATTATGTATACGGAAAATTTTAAATTAAAGAACATAAAACATTTGTGTGTCATTAAGAAATGATGATGCTCTCATCAAGATTGATACTATTTGCAATCTACGAATAATTTCATGCATGTTGATATGATGAAAGTTACTATCTTGTACATAAGAGCTTTTAGCTTTCAATGTAGAACTAAAATATTGAAAATGAAACGTTTACAAGAAATAGTACCGCTGCGTCCAATAACTTTAATGTGTATCGTGTCAATGATGAATATCTAGAAGTCGATGTAGAGTTTTTTTTATAACTTAAATTTGCGACCTCTTTATACAAAAATAATGCGTAGAGATTTCTAACAACATATATAAAGAATACATTATTGGTTTGATAAACACACCCAACGTCATATCTACAAAGAATTAACGTAGAGTTAAACAATAAAATTTGAAGCACATATTACATTTTGAACAACTATCAAAACACCAATTGTTTAATCCTTTGTAAAAAAATGATACTGCAACAGTATTTATACCATATTTATTCCCTGGTTTATCAAACATTTTCTTATACCAAATTGTACTAATTTTTTCATTTTCTATCAATTACTTTCTTGTTAAAATGAAATTAGTAATTGTATTTTTATATATTCGGCTTCTCAATTTTATAGTGGTTAATAACATAGCTACATTTTGAATACAATTTTCAGTACAATATTATTTAGATATATTATGATTCATTATTTCACAAAATTACAACCCAAGTTATCGTCTTTTGCTTAGCATTGAATATTTAATAATACAAGGTATTTTATAAAATAGTTTGACAAACTCTTCTTCAGTTTCATAAACAAATGCTAACCGACTTTCTATTTAGAACACTTGCCCGAGTATGTTGTTGAGGTAGGTCCACATATGTGTCATCAGTAATGGTGACATCGGCTTTGGTGTGTGAGATATTGATGCTAAAATTGTTACTGTTTATCGTTTGCGACGACAAGATAAATTAGTTAAAATAAATTGATAAATCCCGTCATTCTAAATGGAATTGATTTTCTTTAATCATATCCAACCGCTTTTTAATTCTCAGCCGTTAAAGCCATTCTGATAACATGTAGGGGGTAATGTAATGTTTGCATGATACGGTAACAGAAATAATATTTTTGCGCGAAAAGTGATGTTATGAATAATATTTAATCCTGGACATCGACATTTATTAAAATGAGCGTATCGGATAGCCTGCGGGATGTAAATAACATTACAAATAAAATTATTATTAATTTTAAATTTAAATAATGAATTAAATCAACTCTGAAGATTAAAAATAGAGCATCGATGCGTGGGTTAGCATTTCTATAATCAATCGTTCAGTATTTTTGTCGTAATAATAATTTTTACAAAATTATTTTTTGTATCAATTAATAAATATTTGCCAAATTACTTTTGACCTTTTTTTAAACCAATGAAAAGGGTTTGTTATTATTTTTTTAATAACTTATTGTAAAATACCTTAGAGTCATCGCAATTTAGTTGACAATTGTTGACGATAAATTAGTCTTGTTACCTATTATTAATAAATATTTCCCAAAGTACTTTTGAATAATGTTTAAACTAATCAAAAGGATTTGTTATTAATTATTTTATTATTTACCTTTACCTAACATGAGTCATTGATGAGTATTTCTATAATCATTCGGTGTTTTAGTCATAAGAATATTATTGCCTATAAATATTATTCTCTGTATCAAGTATTGCTTAATTGCGAATGTACTTTTAACAGTTTTTATTCAAAAAATACTGTTTAATATCTTCAAAAATTCATTTATTTTTAAACCATGTACTATAGAGTTTTCCAATAAAAATATAGCTAAATATAGTACAAATTATTTGATTGTATTAACAAAAACGCAAGATTGTTGACGACAAAAGTCTAAAAGCAGAGATCTAAATTAGTACGGGAAATATAAAAAGCATATTTCAATTTGCCAATAAGTTGGCAGTTCTACTTGATGTAGAGTGGTTTAGTATGACTTTAAACCTACATCTGAAGTCATTCGTTCTTCGAGTTACTAGTTAATTACCAGCTTAATTCCATTACCACCCAAAGCATATTTTAATACAAAAATCCTCCTATGTGTTGTGTGACGAATTTTTTTTTTGAAAGCTTTTTTTTACCAAAATTCTTGGGCTGTCCAATACGTTACGTCGGGAATATATATTATTCCGATCCCTCGGCGACCACCTTCGAACGGATGTTTGTCATTGAAACGATACACAAAAAGATACAATTTATTTAGACGTATGTAAAATACGCATATTTATAAATACATGTATATTTATACATAAGTTAGATTCTTGAAATAGATTTATTGTATTTCCATGTCGAATATTTTATGTGTCGTGTGCTGTATTGATTATTACGTTTTATGAGTTTTTCACATGTGAATAAGCGTAATTTAATACATTTCTTTCCAGTAAAATTTATAAAATTCAAAACTATCTTATCATACGTTTGATTATACTTTAGTAGGATCAGCCATTCAATTTGCCTGTGATAGCAAAGATTTTTTTAAAATGAATTTTAGAGGGAAACATTAACCAGTGATTATTTTTATATATAATAGGTAATTATTATCAAAATTATTTTACATTTGCAACGTGCGTGATAACACTAAACCTACCAGAGCAAAATTATCTTTTTAAGTCTTGGGTTTCAATATTGTTTCTTTGGAAAAAACGCGCATATTCTAACAGTATTTATATTCTAAATTTTATTTATTTTGTCTGATTTCAACATTTGATAGTTTATTTTCTTAAATGTAATTAAAATTATATATAATGACCGAAATAATAAGTAAATTTAGGACTAACAAAAATATCATTTTCTAGGGCTAATGGATTCAAACCTAACCCAATATTTTTATTACTGGTAGCAGTACATGTGTAGTAAATTAAATGCAACGATTTTAATCTAATTAAAATATTTCTAGAAAATGGTTATTTTACGATGGTATGCTCAGTAGGTTTAGTGCCAAAGAAATTTTTAGTGTCTACAATTTTAACGAATCATATCATTTAAAAAAATATAAAGAATTAATATTAGTATTTCAAAGGTTGCGTCAAATTAGTACTTTATGAGTTCAACATTAATTTTAATTCTCCAATTTTTTTTCAAATTTGACCTTTTAAATTTTTTTCGTTTTTTTCGAAACAAGCTAATATATTGCATACTTCTAATTCTAATTGGCTTGACAAACGAGTGATCTCAACTAATATAACGTACTATTTAACGTAATTTTAAATTGTTTTATATTTTTTAAAAATATAGCTTATGTTACGAGATATGTAATATTTCATTTACTGATCATTATAATTTTTTTTTTAAATTTGTAT